AAAATAAGATATGTGCAGTGTGCATAGGAATTTGTTCATAGTTTTTTTTTTAACTATAGTCCGGCCCTCCAACGGTCTGAGGGACAGTGAACTGGCCCCCTGTTTAAAAAGTTTGAGGATCCCTGGTCTAAATGATAAATTGGCACCATTCTTCTTCTTCTTTTTTGAGGGAGAAAGAGATAGAAACATCAATGATGAGAGAGAAGCAATGATTGGCTGCCTCCTGCACGCCCCACACTGGGGATCAAGCCAGCAACCTAGGTATGTGCCCTTGGCTGGAATCAAACCTGGGACCCTTCAGTCCGCAGGCTGACACTGTATCCACTGTCCAAACCGGCTAGGGCTTCTCCATTGATTTTTAGAGGAAATGGAAGGGAGAGGGAGAAACAGAAACACCAATGTGAGAGAGACACATTGATTGGTTGCCTCTGGCATGTCCCTGGCCAGAGCCAATCCTGCAACTGAGGTATATTCCCTTGACCAGAATCAAACCTGGGACTCTTCAGTCTCTATCCACTGAGCCAAACCAGGTAGGGTGGCACCATTCTTTTACTGAATAAATATTTATTGAGTATCAGGAACTGTGCTAAGCACTGGGATACGAAGATTAAAAGATAAGTAAGATACCTCTTGCCTTCAAGAAGAAACTTAGAGTTGCAGGATCTGAAAAGGATTCATAAAGGAGTATATTCATGAGTCAAATGGTGGGATACTAAAGGTTGATAACATAAGCAATTCCCCCAGCCCCAGAGAAATCACTTTATCTTTTTATAATGTCTGAAATATTTTTGAAATACATTTTAATAAATACATAATACATTTGAAAAACTCCTATTAACCACTAATAGTTGTTAATTCTGGGTAATAGAATTATAGATGACTATTATTATAGTCTTTATACTCTTCTGAAATTTTCAACTTCTCAAAAATTATAAAACCACAAGGAAAGATCATCTGGCAGCAGCATGAATGATAGGTTGGCTGGTATGAAGATTGGAGGTAAAGAAATCAGGTAAAACCTGAGTGCAATGATCCAAGGAAGAAGGGATGAGGATCTCAACCGAGGCAGTGAGAGAGGCTTACTGAGAAAGGACTGTATTGGGAGAGGTCCAGGAAATAGAAGAATGGACTTTATCATCAGAGGGGAGTGAGTGAGGGAAAAGGAGAAGTGAAAGGTGATGCCTGAGTCTCTAGCTTGGGTGAGTAGATGACGGTGGTGTCATTCACTTAGAGTGGCTACAATTAGGACTGCCCTTGATATGTCTGCTCTGATGGAGACAAAAAGCATCTTTACAAGGCTAACCTCCAAACCCATGTTTAGTAGAGAACTATGCATATGCTTACATTCTTTTGATCTGGTTAATTTTTAAAAAATACATATTTTTAGAAAGAGAGGGAGAGGGGACAGGAGAGAGAGAGAGAGAGAGAGAGAGAGAGAGAGTGAGAGAGTTCAATGTGAGAGGGAAACATCGATTGGCTGCCTCCTGCATACTCTCTACCAGAGATCGGGCTTGCAACCCAAGCATGTGCCCTAACCAGGAATCAAACCTCACTTTTGGTGTACTGGACAATGCCAAGCAACTGAGCCACACCAGCAGGGCTGATTTGGTTAATTTTGGTAGCACTTAAAGGATGTGGAAATATGGAAAGAAAAATAATTTAAAATAGTATAGGTAAATAGCTATACAGGTTCCCCCACTAACTGAATGTTTAGTGTTCTTATGAAGGCTTTTATAAGCTGAAATGGCCTAAAGCAAAGAAGCAGTTACCATTAATTTATATAGAAAATTTGGGGGGAATTTCAAGACCCAAAAAAATAACCCACCAAATCAAACCAAATAATATTAACATCCCAGCTTGCATTAGTATATTCCCTGAAACCCAAGATGAATTGTGCTAGTACAAAGTACCTATATGTTGGATATATACACTACTCATTGTTTTCTGGGATTTATGCCCTTCAAACAGATATTGGCACCTTGTACAAAAATAAAGTAAAATAAAATTAATTAATTTGAAAAAATAAAATTACACTAACATATAGTAAATGTAAGAATGATGTGATAACCCAGCTGGTGTGGCTCAGTGGGTTTCAGGGAATATACTAATGCAAGCATTGACCTATGAACCAGGAAGTCCTGGTTTGATTTGTGGTCGGGGTGCATGCCCAGGTTGCAGGCTCGGGATCCCCAATGGGGGGCGTGCAGGAGGCAGCTGATCAATGATTCTCATCATTGATGTTCCAATCTCTCTCTCTCCCTCTTCCTTCCTCTCTGAAATCAATAAAAAAGAAAGAGAGAGAGAGAGAGAGAGAGAACCATATCATAAATACACATCATACTTTGCACACCCATCAATCCACTCAAGCAGTAGACTTTCCATTTTATCTGTTACTGGGTGTTGACTAACAGAGACCATTTTGCTACTAGCAAAAGCAAGAGGAACTTCTGCAGCTTTCAAGATTCTTCCTCTCTGCCTGTAAATAGTAGGCATGGTGGATGCAGGCACGTTCATGCAAGCACAATATCTTCATTTTATTCTTCACCATTGAAACATTTAAAGTGCACCCAGTGTTATGCTGTGTAACAACCTGACAAACCCTCTTAGGCTTTTCTGTTATCTTGCTAACAGATGCACAAAATAAATCGGGATAAAGTACAGATGCTCACAGACACAGTTCAAGCTGTGGCAGCTTGATGCTGAGATGCTGAGTGCAGTTCCGGGGAGGGAGCCTGGCCGTGCCACTCCGGCCACTGTGCTCTGAATAAAGGCTCATTGAAAGCAAATTCTGAGTGTTATTTTTGCATTTCACCTTTGCATGCAGAATCCACTTTGAAATGCAAATCTTCTTTGCATTTCTATTGGTTAGTGAAAACAGGTCCTGATGTAGCTCTTTCACAAAAGCTAAGTGGCACAATGTGAACTTTCAAAAAGCAGGGGATACCAGTTCTGTGGGATTAGATTTTTAAAAAATTGATCTATTCCTTCATTGCATTAAAGAAAAAAAAGGAAGAAGGCCATACTAAATTGAATGTCCTTACCTATGCCAGTGGCAGTGGTGGAGATGAGCTAAAATAGTGAACAATCATCCACAATTTTTTTATTTTATTTTTTAAAATATGTTTTTTATTGTTGATAGTATTGCAGATATTTCCCATTTTCTCCCCCTTTCTTTCCTCCCATCCACAATTTTTAAAAATGAAGGTTTACAATTTGGTTTTCTTTTTAAAAATATATATATTTTATTGATTTCAGAGAGGAAGGAAGAGGGAGAGAGAGATAGAAACATCAAAGATGAGAGAGAATCATGGATCCGCTGCCTCCCGCATGCCCCACACTGGGAACCAAGCCCGAAACCCGGACATGTGGCCTGAGCAGGAATCAGATGTGACCTCCTGGTTCATAGGTCGATGTTCAACCACTGAGCAACACCTGCCGAACTCTTTTTTTTTTGTTTTGTTTTGTGTTTTTTAGACTGTATTTTTTAAAAATATATTTTTATTGATTTCAGAGAGGAAGGGAGAGGGCAAGAGAGATAGAAACATCGATGATGAGAGAGACTCATCATGCCCCACACTAGGGATCGAGCCCACAATCCAGGCTTATGCCCTGACGGGAATCGACCTATGAACCTCTTGCTTCAGAGATCGAAGCTCAACCACTGAGCCACACCTGGCTGGGCACAATTTGTTTTTCTTTAGCAATTTACCTTTTAGCCATGCTTTCATACACATATTCTAAAATAAGTTTGCATTCTCTTAATCCCTTAGCAGTAAAATAAGATAGTCAGTAGCATGGATTCTGGAGTCTGAACAAGTGACTTAGCTCTCTGAACTTTTAAAGTTTAGGCAATCCTACCTACCTCTCAGATTTGCTGTAAGGATTAAATGAGATAATACATGTGGAACAATTATAATGATCATAATGTAATATATAATGAAGCACATAGAAACATATTACACATAGTAACTGCTCAACCAATAATACTTGTTATTAGTTTGGTTATTATTGTTTTTTCTTTTTTAAAAACTGGAAAGACACCTTCTGAAGCATGTCTAGTTTCTAAAGATTTTTCTTGGATAATCCACCAAGTGCAATGCAAATGTGAATAAATAACCCTTCATTTAAAAAAATTATTATTAAAATTTTTAAAAATATATTTTATTGGTTTTTTACAGAGAGGAAGGGAGAGGGATAGAGAGTTAGAAACATCGATGAGAGAGAAACATCGATCAGCTGCCTCCTGCACACTCCCTACTGGGGATGTGCCCGCAACCAAGGTACATGCCCTTGACCGGAATCGAACCTGGGACCCTTGAGTCTGCAGGCCGATGCTCTATCCACTGAGCCAAACCGGTTAGGGTGAATTATTATTAAATTTTGTTAATCCTCACTCAAGGATGTTTTTCCATTGATTTTTAGAGTGGAAGGGAGGGAGGGAGAGAGAGAAATTCATGTGAGAGAAACACATTTATTGGTTGCCTCCTGACCTACCGGGGTGGAATCAAACCTGCAACCCAGGTACATGCCTTGACCCAGAGTTGAGCCTGTGACCCTTCGGTGCATGGGCTGATGCTCTAATCATTGAGACATACCATCCAGGGCACTTCATTTTTTTTTTTTTTAAATGTTGTGGTCTATTATATTCATATACAATCTGGCAAACTAGCACAGGAGAATAGTATTAGCAATTAGTAACCAGGTACTCAAATGAGTTGATGTATGGGGATTTTTAATAATGATTTAAAAAATAAATATTTAGCCCTAACCGGTTTGGCTCAGCAGATAGAGCATCGGCCTGCGGACTTAAGGGTCCCAGGTTCAATTCCGGTCAAGGAACTCTCTATCCCTCTCCCGTCCTCTCTGTAAAAAATCAATAAAATATATTTAAAAAATAAATAAAAAATAAATATTTAAACATTTGTGTTATAAACATCAAAATAAAAATCAAGTTGCTATATCAATAGAATAATACTTATTTTTTTCTTTCAGGCATATGAAAGTCTGCTCCAGAAGGTACTTAATAAGGATTCCTTGAATCTCTGTTTCTGATCAGAGTAATGAAACCCAAAGAATTCCGGATTCATCTTCAAGCAACGTGACACCAGAATTTAACCAACTAAATCAAAGTGATTGTGTCATATAATTTCTGTTAAGAAAAATGATACTACTATTATCAGAAGCTACTTGTTGCACTGTTTCCACACAAAAATTGAAATATGAGAGCTGAGTTGAGAAATATTTAGAAGAGTATTTTTCAACCTATTGCTAGAGAGAATTATAGCATTGACTCATAAATTCCTAAGACTAGTCTTTTAGCATGTGTGAGATGGTAAGATATAACAACATTGCAAATCTTCTCTGATGCTATTAAATATTTGGACCTCTTCACTCCTGAGATTGGGGTGCAGATGAGCCTGGGGGAGTGTTCGTGCTTTTAAGGGTCACTAAGGCAGAGTTCCTCAACAGACGTGTCCACCAAAAAATGCACACTTAACTTCTAGAATTAACATGTCATTTTGCTGGGTGCAAGGGGAGAAGTATATCATCATAAAAAGCATTCAAATAGCTTAGAAAGTAAAGGCAGCTGTGAAAGGCAGTGCTTCACGTAGAGCCAGGGTATAATTTGAACCTTGGGAAAATCAAGGCTCCAATTACGAATTATAGTTTATCAGAGTGGGAAATCCTCACTAACAAGGAAACAACACTTCCTGGGAAGTGCTAGGGTGAAAAACAAGGCCACGTTAGAGTGCAAATATAACATGCTGTTAATCAAAGCCATTCTTTGTGACATCCATTAGGGAGTGACAGGGAGGCTGGTATCACTGGTGAGTGATATGACCATTCCCCGAGCACCTTCTGTTTTGCCCCAGAACCAGGGAATCCTGAGTGCAACCCATGATGCCCTCCTCAGCCAAGTGAATGAGCTGAGGGCAGAGCTGAAGGAGGAGAGCAAGAAGGCTGTGAGCCTGAAGAGCCAACTGGAAGATGCATCCATTCTGCAGATAACATTGAAGGAGGTAAATAATAATAATCAAAAGATACCACTAATTGTAAGTTATGTTTCAATTTTAAAGATGTTAAAAAGTATATCTTAGCAACACTGTGGGTATTTCACTTTTTCAAATGAGAAACATGAGGCTCTAAGTCAGTGGTTCTCAACCTTCCTAATGCCGCGACCCTTTAATACAGTTCCTCATGTTGTGGTGACCCCCAACCATAAAATTATTTTTGTTGCTACTTCATAACTGTAATTTTGCTACTGTTATGAATTGTAATGTAAATATCTGATATGCAAGATGTATTTTCATTGTTACAAATTGAACATAATTAAAGCATAGTGATTAATCACAAAAACAATATGTAATTATATATGTGTTTTCCGATGGTCTTAGGCGACCCCTGTGGAAGGGTCGTTCGACCCCCAAAGGGTTCGCGACCCACAGTTTGAGAACCACTGCTCTAAGTGGTTAAATAATTTGCTCAAGATTATAATATTAGGGGAATACTGGGATTTATACTTATGATGTCTGTTCTCCAAAGTCTTTGCTCTTTTATAGTGTTCTGCTGCTTCCCTAACAGTAGAAACTCAGATACCATGATAATTTACTTCAGAAATCTTCATTAATTCCAAGAAAATTTTCTATCCTATTTTTAATTGATTCAAGTCTTTCTAGTTGAGTGTCTCCTCATAGATATTGGAGGTGAATGTAGAAAACCTCCCACCCAAACCCCACCCTGCAACAGAAAAGGGAAATCTTGTGCAAGGCAATATATTTAAAAATTTTATTTCAGTCACTCTACTGTCATTCTTAGTTTCAGGAAAGAGTTGACGATTTGGAAAAAGAACGACAATTGCTGAATGACAACTATAACAAACTCTTAGAAAAGTGAGTACCACGTTTGGGTCTCAGTGCATTGTTTGCTATAAAAGATGATTATAGAAAAGTGCCTTCCCAATTGTAAAAATAATACATAGTTGACAAGGATATGGGGAAACTGGTACTCAATACTGTTAGTGAGAATGTAGATCAGCACAGTCTTTTTGGAAGGGAACTTGATACTATCTACCAAAATGTTAAACCTCTGTATATCTTTTGTGCCAGCAATTCCATTTTTTTAATCAAAACAAAACAAATCTTATTATATGTATATGCAAAGATATTGTATAATAAGAATGTTAATTACTGCATTTTTTTAGTTTTTTTTAAAATATATATTTTATTGATTTTTTTACAGAGAGGAAGGGAGAGGGATTGAGAGTTAGAAACATCGATGAGAGAGAAACATCGATCAGCTGCCTCCTGCACACTCCCTACTGGGTATGTGCCCGCAACCAAGGTACATGCCCTTGACCAGAATCAAACCTGGGACCCTTGAGTCCGCAGGCCGATGCTCTATCCATGGGGCCAAACTGGTCAGGGCTCTTTTTTTAGTTTTATTGATTTCAGAAAGGAAGGGAGAGGGAGAGAATCATTGATAGGCTGCCTCCTGCATAACGCCTACTGGTGATCAAGCTTGCAACCAGGGTATGTGCCCTGACTGGGAATCTAACCTTGACCTCCTAGCTAGATTCTGAGCAACACCAGAATCCAACCACTGAGCAACACCAGCCAGGCTGCATTGTTAATAATAGTAAAAAATCATTGAAACCATCCAAATTTTCTTTGATAGGGATTGACTAAATACATCATTTTGCATTCCCACAATAAAATATGGTGAAGCTGGGAAGGGGGGTGCAGGGGGCGAGCAGAGATTAACCAAAGAACTTATATGCATATATGCATAACCCATGGACACAGACAATCATGTGGTGAAAGCCTGGGGGTAGGGGAGCAGGAGCAGGGTGGATGGAGTCAATGGGGGGGCGGGGAAGGAGACATCAGTAATACTTTCAACAATAAAAATAAATTTTTAAAAATCTGATGAAGCTATTAAAAATGATGTGGCCTTAGCCAGTTTGGCTCAGTGGGTAGAGCGTCACCCTGCGGACTGAAGGATCCTGGGTTTGATTCCAGTCAAAGGGCACATATCTTGGTTGCAGGCTCGATCCCCGGCCCTGGTCAGGACTCGTGTGGGAGGCAACCAATCAATGTGTCTCTCTCACATCGATGTTTCTCTCTGTCTCTTCCCTCCCTTCCACTCTCTCTAAAAATCAATGGAAAAATATCCTCGGATGAAGATTAACATAACAAACAAACAAACAAAAATGCTGTAGTCATATTTGCCTATTATTAAAAGAAAAATCTAGTTGCAAAAGAATATATTAACTCTGACCCAAAAGGATTGGAGTAGGGCAAAGAGGCACCTTCATTTTTATTCTACACACTTCCACATCATTTTACTTTTTCACAGCACACATACATTCATGAATTTCCTTTTTGGAATTAAAGATACCTGGAATTAATAGAAATTAAATGTGCCTTCTGATTCAGTTAAAGGCAGAAGAGGATATATTGGGGAAGTTGTATGGGGATATCCTAGGAACAACTGATTGCTTTTCACCTCAGTGAAATGAGGTAGTGTGGGGATTACCCACGTTGATGCCTCCTTGTTACAAACACTACTATTGGCCTCTTCTCCTCATCATTCAGAACATTATCTTCTTGGACTGTCATCGAATGTATGGTCAGGAAGTGCCAAGAACTCTTAATATTAGCCTAAGCCAGTTGTTTTTAGACCACATTTATTGAAGTGATAAATAGGAAAAAAAGACATAAGCAGAAATAACAGTTTGTCAATATCACTCCACTTGTGTAAACAACTAAGGACTGGCCATGTGTGTTTACATTCAAAATGGGTCTGTCTTGCCCTGGCCGGAGTGGCTCAGTGGTAGAGTGTCAGCCCAAGAACCTAAGGGTCTCGGGTTCACTTCCTGGTCAAGGGCACCTACCTGGGTGGCAGGTTTGTTCCCTGGCCCCTGTTGGGGAGCTTGTGTGAGGCAGCCAATCAAGGTGTCTCTTTCACACTAATGTTTCTCTCTCTTACCTCTCTCTCCCCCTCCCCCTTCTCTTCCTCTCTTACTAAAAATCAATGGTAAAAATATCATTGGATGAGGAATAACAAAACAAACAAACAAACAAACAAACAAACCCAAAATTGGTCTGCCCTGACAGCTACATACAATGGTGTTTGTAGGGTATAGTCACTGAAAAGTTGAAACTATTAGTTCCTGCCTTTCAGTGTAGTAATTTTTTAAATATTTTGATTTCAGAGAGGAAGGGAGAGGGAAATAGAGATAGAAACATCATGATGAGAGAGAATCATTGATTAGCCAATCCTCCTGCACACCCCCCATGAGGGATGGAGCCCTGACCAGGAATTGAACCGTGACCTCCTGGTTTATAGGTAGATATTCAACCACGGAGCCACGCCGGCTGGGCTCAGTATAGCAATTTATATTCTAGATCAAAGCCAAGTATTCTCTAAACTAGCCATTGGTGATGGTAGATAGAGGAATAGAGCAAGGAAAAGAGGAATATTTTGTTCCTCATTTTAATCCAGCAGGACTGAGAATGTCCTGGTACACAGTTTCCCGACTAAAGAAAGCTGTCATGCTAGAGGAGTTCCTTGGGAAGTAGATGTGACTTGGGTGGTTTGCCCAGTGGGCTATTTGGGGCCTAAACAGAAGTGATGCTAAAGAACTCAATAGGACCCAAAGTTCCAAGGCAGTTGGTAACTGACAGTTACAGATAAAGCAGGGGCAGAAAAAACATGTAGGGCAGTGAATGATGAACTAGGCCCAGGAGATGCTGAAACTGTGTAATAAAGACATTTTGTCAAACACCTTTGAGTATCCATCTGACAAATCCCCCCTCCCTCCTTACTTCTTCTCGGGTTCAGCATGCTGGACAGCAGTAATCCTCCTCACTGGAGCCAAGAGCTTGGAGGAGAACAGCTACAGCAGAAAGTCTCTCAGTTGCAGCATCAGCTGGATGCTGAGCTGGAGGAGAAGAGAGAAGTCTTACTTCAGCTGTCCAGAGTGACAGGTAGGTTGGGTCTTGAAGAGCTGTCTCAAACGAGGCATCCTCTGCATCTGGTTGGGGAGAAAGGAACCTGGGTCAGCATTTCTCTAATCCCTCAGTTGTTCATAGTTAGCTAGAATAAGGACACTGGCAATGAGGATCAGCTTTACAATCCAGAAAGCACAACACCTACCTCACACTTATCCTTTTTTCTACATAATGACTTTCCACTTGAGAGGATGTCAATTC